GATTTCCATAGTGAAGTTTTTCAATATATAACAATACTGTGGCCCCATTTTTAACTAGCTTGATTTTGATTTGGCCAGCATTGGGTTTCCATCTGGATACCGCTTCTTGAAGCGAGCAACAACCTCAGGATCAAGAAGATGGACACCATCCAACTGATTACCAAGGGTGATCCTGAACAAAAACCGAACAACAATACATGAAACAATATAGATCATCTACACAGCATCTAATTCATTTTAGGTTAGAAGAAAATATTTACAGCCATTATGGAGAAAGTCGCATTGCAACATTGTTTTGTCAAAGGATGTCTAAAGGTAAGGCAAAGGAGGGTGCTATCTATTAGTGAGGAAAGGTGAGGGTGTGGTCTAGGGGTGAGGGAACGACAGAGTGTCGTCTGGAGGTGAGGGAAGGAAAAGGTGTGGTCTAGTGTTGAGGAAAGGTGAGGGTGTTGTCTAGGAGTGAGGGAAGGAGAGGCTTTTGTGTGGGGGTGAGGGAACGACAAGGTGTGGTCTAGGGGTGAGCAAAAGGAGGTGTTCCTAGGGGTGACAAAAGAAAAGGGTGTGCTCTTGGGATAAGGAAAGGGGTGTTTGTAGGGGTGAGAAAAGGAGAGGGTGAGGTCTTGGAGTGAGGGAAGGAGGGTGAGGCGAGGAGAGGATGTTGTCCATGAGTAAGAGAAGGAGTTTTTGACTATGGGTATGTAATTCTATGAAAAGGTTGTGGTCTTAGGGAGAGGAAAGGAAAGGGTTTGGTCTAGGTGTGAGGATAGAGGAGGGTTTCATCTATTAGTAAGGAGGGAGTGTGCAATGTCTATTAGTGAGAAAAGGAGAGGGCGTGGTCTTGGAGTGAGAAAAGAAAGGGTGTTGTCTGGGGGTGAGGGAAGGAGAGGTGCTGTCTATAGATGGGGAAAGGAGATGGTGTTGTCTAGGCGTAAGAAAAGAAGAGGGGTTTGTCTTGGGGTGAGGGATGGAGAGGGTGTGGTCTAGGGGTAAAGGAAGGAGAGTGTGGTCTAGGTKTGAAGTTGAAGGAGAGTTGTCTTGGGCTGGGTAGGGAAGAGCTTCAGAGTTGTCTGGGAGTGTGAGAGAGGAAATGGTTGTCTTTGAATGAGGGAAGATGCTGGAGTTGTTTTGGGATTAACTTGGGTTTTGTGGAGTGAGAGGGAGTTGCCTTTGCTTTTGAGTGAGAAGAGGTAGTTATTTTGGAGTTTGGAAGGTAGATGGAAAAGAACGGAATAGGAGATTGGAATTTGATGGAACTTACCAGTTAGGCTGTACGTTGTGTTGTCTTCCAA